TGTATTGTTTGGCAGACCACATCAATTTGCTGACTAGAGTTAATTTTGTGAATCAAGGATCCCTTTGAAATGCTCCCATTGGTTTCGGCAAGCTTGGACACAAACCTTTAACTCGTTCATTTTCAGGGGACCTTTTTTGTGTTTAAAATATGGAGCAGAAAAATTTCTGCATGCTTTTCTTTTTGGGACTCTCCTATGACTAGGAAAGAGATGTGCATCCTTTGGATGTTTAACTAAGCATGACAATGTGGTATTGACTGAGAAATGTCGGAGAATCTGTACCAAGCTGATAATGAGGTAGCAAACTGAATCATTAGCGCCTATGCTCATTACAGAGTTTGGGATTAAAACTATGCAAGATAGAAGAAAAGCATAGAAGAAAAAGCAGCGGCAGCAGTAACGAAAGACACCAGTGCCCCCTTTTTGAGCAATACACAATAATAAGCAATTTATTTATCATGGGATTTGAATACCACAGATTATTAATTTCTCTAAAATTCAGCTTTGCATGGTTCAAAACGTGCTTTTAACATATTGCAACTGTAAGGAAATCTCAGCGATATGATTTCTCATTATTCTTGAAACAGAATATGGAATATTTTATGGCATCTTCCAAAGACTTACTGTGCCCTCCAGTGAAGATTTGAGCCGGCGTAATGATGGCAATTTAATCCTGATCGATTAAAAGCAATAGAAAGGTTGTCTACTCATAGCCTAATCTCATGAAGCTTCATTAACAGACAGTTTCATTGGCACACCCAGGTGGCTTCACAACTTTGGAGATGGTAGAGACCATGGTTTCCCCAAGGGAAGGTCTCAAGGCTTGCTTGGGGAACATTGCCTATGTGGGGGAAGAGAGCTTAAAAACAAAGAAAGAAAGTGGTGATGGAGGAAGAATCTTGGATAGCTAACAATAGCAGCTGCAACAGCCTGTTCACAATCCCCTCTATCAGGTCCCACACCCCGCCTACCAGGCGATTCACATAACACCATTCTAAAATGACAGATTTAAGGACTCTCAGCATTTCTAGTGTCCTCTGGATGTGGAGAAACTGCTTTGGGATGTTGGGGAGAACCTGATATGGCCACCTGAATATTCAGCACCATAAGGCAGTCTGCCAGGGTGTGAATGGAGCCCATGGACAGTAGCGACATGAGAACTATGGCATATAGGAAGGCCATGTTGAAGTTCAAGGAAGCAGTCTTTCAACCTGCCTCACTGGAGCAAGCATATGAACATGGCCACCCCTCCCAACACTAATATCCAATGGAGGGGATCGTGTAGATGTGGGAGGGTGGTAGAAAAGGGGAGAACACTGCATGTGGCATGGCCATATGTTCAGCTTTCCATGTGGCATGCTGTTCATATAACTGACTTCATGCTCCATCCCTTTTACCCTAGCTGCCATGGTAATAATAATAATAATAATAATAATAATAATAATAATAATAATAATTTATACCCCGCCCATCTTTCTGGGCTTCCCCAGCCACTCTGAGTGGCTTTCAACAAAATATTAAAATACAGTAATGCACCAAATGTTAAAAGCTTCCCTAAACAGGGCTGCCTTCAGATGTCTTCTGAAAGTCTGGTAGTTGTTGTTCTCTTTGACATCTGGTGGGAGGGCGTTCCACAGGGTGGGTGCCACTACCGAGTAGGCCCTCTGCCTGGTTCCCTGTAACTTGGCTTCTCACAGTGAGGGAACCGCCAGAAGGCCCTCGGCGCTGGACCTCAATGTCTGGGTAGAACGGTAGGGGTGGTTGTTGCCACCTTCACTGCTATCACTGTCGCCGCACAATCCAGTGCTGTGCCATCATTGTAGAGTAATTTGGCAGCTACTTGGCCCAAGATGCAGAGGCCTGGTAGCTTAATACAGTGTACTGTGGGAGCTGACGGATGTGCATGATAGGAATGGGGGATCTAAGAGGTACCTAGTGAAATTCCTAACTATAGGAATTATCCCCTGCCAGATTCCTTCTTGCGTTTGAGGGTTCGGAAAAATACTTTACCAACACCCTTAAATTCTTGTTTCTTGGAAGATGTCAACAGGCATGGAAACCAAGGAGAAATAGAATGGTGGGATTATAATGGAACGGAACTTCAGGAAGCTGCTTAAACCTTCAGTACACAGAGGGATCTGATGAGGAATGCAGGACCACGGATGGTTACCACCAAACCTGTTGGAAGCATCAGAGAAAGTGATGAGCAAATAATCTGTCTCCTTGGCACTCCCTGCTCTGCTTACATATAGGGTTAGTGTTCCGGCCATGAAAAATATAACAGTCAGAAGCAATAGTGTAGTGTAAGTGGCTTGGCTCTTCAGTGGGGCTGGGGGAAGATGATGGGAGAAGTCATTTCCAGTAAGGGGCCTCCAAGGAGTCTGCCTGCCTCCTCCCACTCAGCTGCCCTACAGCTGAGGGGGAGGCGGTGGGCAGACCGTTTGGGGCAGCATGGAGCCTGTGGGTGCCCAAGCCACCGCATCACTCCTGGGAGAGATGGTGGCTCGGGCGCGCTGCAGGCCCCACGGTGAGTGCCACCCGGCATTTTGTCACCCCCCCTCAGTGGTGACACCCAGGGTGGACCGCCTCTACCACACACCCCTTCCTCCGCCCCTGGCTGGCTACTGTACAAAGGCAAAATTTTCATTCATTGATCCACCTACTTTGAATGAAGGGATTTGAACTATTCTACCTACATAACACAGCACGGCAAATACAGCGGTACCTTGGGTTACATACACTTCAGGTTACAGACTCTGCTAACCCCCAGAAATATTACCTCAGGTTAAGAACTTTGCTTCAGGATGAGAACAGAAATTGTGTTCCAGCGGCACAGCGGCAGCGGGAGGCCCCATTAGCTAAAGTGGTGCTTCAGGTTAAGAACAGTTTCAGGTTAAGAACAGACCGCCAGAACGAATTAAGTTCTTAACCCGAGGTACCACTGTATAGGCATTATGTTGGCATGACAGCAACGTCAAAAAATGTTGCAAAATGATGAGCCAAAGGAAATGTTTAGCACTGAGATATTGCTGCTGTGTGATAAATTTCATCTTGTAAAACACTTGCTGGAAAAATTTCTCCGTTGTTAATATGTTGTGTATTACATACATTCAACAGCTAGGAATAATAATAAAAAACTAATAAGAACCAGTAGGAGGGGGAAATGTATGTTTTATTTAATGTTTTTATAGTAATCAAACCGACATAGCAGGGATTTGCTGATTAGTGACGGTTATTTTATCCATTTATGATGTGCTTTTAGAATGTTATTCAAGATTGGTTTGGAAACCTTGCGGGGAATTCTATTGCAATTCTGTTTTTGGAATTGAACTTTCATCAAATGACTGATTAAATTAATGCGAAAATACTGGTTCGCACAAACGAAGGCACACATTTACCTCGGAGGTAAGGGAATATAGGGCTGGATTCAACTAAGTAGGGGCACTATTGAGAGCTACCACAAGTCCTGCTTGTGAAACAGGGCTTTCTCTCCCACCAACATATGCCTTGTGCACAAGAGGAGAAGAGGAGAGATGTTAGGCAAGTAGAATGATAGCGTTGATAGAAAGTTTGTGTTAGCTTACAACTTGCATAACATCTGAGTAGGCAAGTACATTACAGTGCAATCCTATGCGTGTCTTCTCAGACTTAGTCCCATCAAGTTCAATGGGGCATACTCTGAGGAAAGTGGATATGGAATTGCAGCCTTCATCTCAGAGAAACCAATGGAACACTTTAGTAATGACTAACCCAAGCTCCATTGATTTAAATGGGATAAAATCATGACTGACACTACAATCCTATGCATGCCTACTCAAATGTATGCACCACTTGGTTAATTTCACTAACTCCAAGTTTATATAGGATGACAATTGGATCAATTTTTCCAGGTCTACAACTTTTAATTCAGGCATGTTGAACCTTTGGCTCTCCAGATGTTGCTGAACTACAACTCCCATCAGCCTCATCGAGCATGGGCAATGGCCAGAGGTGATGGGAGTTGTAGTTTAGCAACATCTGCAGGGACAAAGGTTCCCCACACCTATTGATCAATTCATGTCAGGGTCTGGGCAGAGGAGGAATGGTGGAGACCGCCTCCCCAGCCTGACCCTTCCAGAGAAGAAGGAGACAGTTCAGAATTACAACAGGGGTTTGAGGGAGGTCACAGCTCAGAGGCAGATGAGGAGAAAAGCTGGAAAATAATGGGAGAGGAGGAGGAAGAAGCACTAGTGGAGTGACAGCTGACAGGCTCAGTGTCTTTAGAAAGCATCCCAGACCCCCCCTTCTCCCAAAACATTGTGGGCCTTGAAAGTAGTAGAGCAAAGAGCTCAAAGGCCAAAGGCGCTTTCCAGCACTCATAGCAATGACTCATGAGGAAGTGGGAGAGACGGATGGGGTGGGGTTTCACTCAGAGCAACGCCATTTTTCTGAGGGGCCACGTTCCCAAGCCTCTCTCTGTGAATATTGAATAAAAGCAGATGGCAAGGACTTTCCTTGTCTTGTCCATTCCTGGCAACCTGCCATGGGCGTTGGCTCCTCTGCCACCTGATCTGGCTGAGTTTCCCCAGCCACTCTGGGTGGCTTCCAATCAAGTGTTAAAAACAATGCAGCATTAAATATTAAAAACTTCCCTCAACAGAGCTGCCTTCAGATGTCTTTTAAAAAGAAGATAGCTGCTTATTTCCTTCACATCTGAAGGGAGGGCGTTCCACAGGGCGGGCGCCACTACCGAGAAGGCCCTCTGTCTGGTTCCCTGTAACCTCACTTCTCGCAATGAGGGAACCGCCAGAAGGCCCTTGGAGCTGGACCTCAGTGTCCGGGCTGAACGATGGGGGTGGAGACGCTCCTTCAGGTATACAGGATCAAGGCCATTTAGGGCTTTAAAGGCCAGCACCAACACTGAGAGGGGCAAAGTTCTTCTCGACTTTTGGTTGACACTGTTCATTACAGTTTCTTTCTTATCTCTTTCAGTTTTTCCTTTGATGAAGTTACCTCATACTATGAGCCACCTGTGGATTGAATACCTAGCACTGTGGGTGTTGCTGATGGTTGACAACGGAAGTGAAATCATGCAGGCGAGAGCGCCACTGCTCCCTAACAAACCATTTCTAGTAGTTTGGAATGCACCTACTGAGCAATGTCGGCGGCGCTACAAGGTCGATTTGGACCTCAACGTTTTCGACATCCTGACAAATCCAAACGAGACCTTGAGCGGCTCCAGTGTAACAATATTCTATCACACTCATCTCGGGTACTATCCCCATGTAGAAGACAATGGCGAATCCATCAATGGCGGGGTGCCGCAAAACGAGAGCCTCATCAAACATCTCATCAAAGCCAAGGCTGACATTGAGCATTCCATCGCCATGAAGAAATTCCAGGGACTCGGGGTCATCGACTGGGAAAACTGGAGACCCCAGTGGGATAGAAACTGGGGCCATAAAGCCATTTACAGAAATAAGTCTCTTGAGCTTGTCAGAAAGCAGCATCCTCAGTGGCCTGAGAACAAGATCAAGAAAGTTGCGAAGGAAGATTTTGAAAATGCAGGGAGGGGTTTTATGAACAGCACCCTTTTCCTAGCTGAAGATATGAGGCCAAATGGGCTCTGGGGTTACTACCTCTACCCAGACTGCTACAATTATGATTACAAGAACCACCCAGACAAGTACACAGGCAAATGTCCAGACATTGAATCGTTCCGGAATGATAATCTGCTTTGGCTGTGGAAAGAAAGCACTGCCCTTTACCCTTCCATATACCTGGAACACATGCTGAAGTGCAGCCCAAACGCTTTGAAATTTGTACACCATCGGGTTAAAGAAGCAATACGCATTGCTTCAATCGCTCGTAAGGACTATGCTTTGCCTGTTTTTGTGTATGCTAGGCCATATTATGCCTATACATTCCATGAGTTGACGGAGGTAAGGATGCCGGTATCTAATAAGCTCCCAGATCCACCAACACGTGTTACCCTTTCTGATATTCTTGCATATTGACGGGATTGTACAGAGGTGAAAACCATAATGTTAGAGAAAGGGACTTATGGAAGATCGCAGGACAGCTTTTGCTAATAATCTGTACTTTGAAACCAGGACTTCCTGCTATGGAAGGTGGGTTGCAGACTTCTCTTAAATCTGAGGGTACACTAGTGATGCCAAACATTCACATGAGCAGCAATATGCATAAAAGAGACTGCAAAGGTGGTATGGGAACCAGGGCCTAGCAGTTAGAGGTCCTCAAAGATGTTTCTTTATGGCAGGGATAGGGAACCTGTAGCTCTCCCAGACATACAACTCCCATCATTCCTTTTTTAAAAAAAATATTTATTAATTTTTCAGGTATACATTTCCCACAATTAAATATACAGCAATACATTGAATGACTTCCCTTCTTCTCCTTCCATGGTTCCTTAGACTTCCAAAATTAACTGCATATTCTATTTCCTCCATCTAGTTCCCCCCTTTCCATTATATCTTAATCTACATTATACTGTTGAATTTACAATTTTCACTTTCTTACAGTTGTTTTCCAAATACTCCACAAATATTCTCCATTCCTCTTTATACACCCATTCTTATTGTTCTCTTACCTTGCTGGTTAGGCCTGCTAGCGCTGCACATTCCATCATTTTCAGTTGTTCCTCCTTCTCTGGACCTTCTCCCACCTTCCATTTCTGAGCTAACATAATCCAAGCTGCTGTTGTTGCATACAGAAATAGCTTTTTCTGCCCCCTGTCTGTACCATACCCAAAAGAAATGCCTCTGGGTTGTTGGGTTTTTTTTTTTGGGGGGGATGTTCTTTTAAACAATTTTTTCATTTCATTATAAATCATTTCCCAATACAGTCATACCTTGGTTTTCGAACAGCTTAGTTCTTGAATGTTTCGGCTCCCGAACGCCCCAATAGTTCGGTTTGCGAACTATTTTTGGAAGCCGAATGTCCGATGGGGCTTCCGATTGGCTGCAGGAGCTTCCTGCAGCCAATCAGAAGCCATGTTTTGGTTTCTGAATGTTTTGGAAGTCGAACGGACTTCCGGAACGGATTTCGTTCGACTTTCAAGGTACGACTGTACTCCTTAACTATTCTGCATGACCACCACATATGATGAAATGCTCCTTCTGCTTCTTTCTATTCCCAACAGATACCTGCAACTCCCATCATTCCTGACCATTGGCCACATGGACTGGACTTGATGGGAACTGGAGTCCAACAACATACAAGTTTCCCATCCTCGCTTTAGGGAAATGCATATTAAGCCTATCCCCAAGGCTTCATTGAGAGGGGAGTGGGACTCACCTGTCAAAGCACTCACTGGTGACCATGCCTCAAAGTTTCTGCATTTAGCATCTGTGAGGATGGGGTTTTATGTGGGTACATCTTCATGCTGTTGGGAATCCTGACTGAACCTGGGTTCTTGACTGTACGTGTAACGTCAGGGAACGGTGGCTGGCAGGAATGTTAATCCCATTCCTCTCAAAAATTCACTAAAGTTACCTGTGCCCCATGGGAAGGTGCTTATGTATATACCTCAGCTTGACTGGCAAACTGTTAAATGTCTCATGTAAAAGCACTGATCTAAAATACAGTGGAACCTCAGGTTATGAACTTAATTCGTTCTGGAGGTCCATTCTTAATCCGAAACCATTCTTAACCTGAGGTGCACTTTCGCTAGTGGGGGCCTCCCACTGCCACCGCACCGCCGGCATGCAATTTCCGTTCTCATCCTGGGGCAAAGTTTGCAACCCAAGGTACTACTTCCGGGTTAGCGGAGTTTGTAACCTGAAGTGTTTGTAACCCAAAACGTTTGTTTCCACTGTAACCAGAATAATTATGCAGTGATAGATTGAACTATTTTTATACAATCATGTGCATTCTTTGTAAAGTAATGTATAGCGCTGCATTTTAGCAGTCCACTCTATTTTCTGTGTTGGCCGGTGTGAGGAAAAATACAGGGCTGGCAACAAACAGAGGCTGGTGTGAGGTGTATGAGAATGGGAGGGGAGAACAGTGTGTGATTTCTATCACCTCAGTGAGAACAAGGCCTAAGAAGCTGCATCCAGATAAATGCAGTGTATAATACATCAGCTTTATTTGCTCTCTCGGGTCAAAGAAACGTCACAGGTTGACTGTGGTCACCTGCTGAATTACAAAGGCCAGAGTGAAATTGCCAGAAGCAGTTAAAATGACAAGACCAGATAAAACAAACAAACAGAAAAACACACCACTGATCCAGCTAGTACTGAAACTCAGCAGTAATTAGTAATCAGCACCATAAAATACAAAAACAGCTCATTAACTAACGCAGAAAGAAAATATTCATCATAAATGTGCACGTAAGGACGATTGAAAGCAAATAATTAAAAACATATTTTTATTAAAATGTTTCCAGGCTGTGTCTCATCTTGGGGAGTTAATGAAATACAAAATACTAAAACCATAAAAAGTCTAAAATCAAATATACAATGATTGCAAACAGTACAGATCTCATCCCTCCACAGATGCTCGACAGAACAGAAACATTTTCATGTGGCAATGAAAATTTGGAAAAACAAGCTTTCCCCTTCCCAGCAGTTTTTTTTTTAAAAAAAGAACTGGCAATATATATTTCCATTTTCGCTGTCACTCAGAACCGGCAGAACATGTTTTAAATCAGCCATAGTTTCCAGACCATCTTCAAGAGCAGCCTTATGTAAAGCACATTATAGTCAGACCTTGCTTCTCAAACACCTTGTGACTCGAACGTTTTGGCTTCCGAATGCCACAAACTCGGAAGTGAGTGTTCCAGGTTGCAAACGTTTTTCGGAAACCGAACGTCTGACGCAGCTTCAGACTGAGTGCAGGAAGCTCCTGCTGCCAATCGGAAGCCGCACCTTGGTTTTCAAACATTTTTGGAAGTCGAGCAGACTTCCGGAACGGATTCCGTGCGAGAACCAAGGTACAACAATACTAGGAAGTAAAGAAGTTACTAGGGTGTAGACCATCATGGCTAGGCAACTCCAGGAAGGATTTCAGTTGGCAAACCAGCCATAGATAGCAATAGCTGTTGCTGCATCCACCTGGGTTTCCAATGTTGGTTCTGGGAGTATGTTCACCCAATTATGCACAGATTTCCACTTCAGACCTCCCACATAGGTTTGACACAGAAGCTGATGGATGTGTTGGGGGGTGAAGTTAGCATGAAGAGCCCCTTCCTCTCTGTCTACATGTAGGAGGAGGCAGGTGGAGCAAGTGATCAGGGCTATGTTGCCTAAATTTTCTATCACAAGGCAGTTCTGGTGGATACAAAATTCCCTACATTTCAGTTCTGTATTCAAGCTGTGTACACACCATATGCTTAAAGCACGCAACTTCCTCTGAAAAATCTGGGGAACTGTAGTTTCTTATAAGGGTGGTAGAAATTGGAGCTCCGTAGGAGATAAACTGGGGATGCGGGTGGTCTTGTGGGTTAAACCACAGAGCCTAGGACTTGCCGATCAGAAGGTTGGCAGTTTGAAGCCCCGCGACGGGGTGAGCTCCTGTTGCTTGGTTCCTGCTCCTGCCAACCTAGCAGTTCGAAAGCACGTCAAAGTGCAAGTAGATAAATAAGTACCGCTCCTGCAGGAAGGTAAACAGCGTTTCCGTGCGCTGCTCTGGTTCGCCAGAAGCAGCTTGGTCATGCTGGCCACATGACCTGGAAGCTGTACGCCGGCTCCCTCGGCCAATAAAGCGAGATGAGCGCCGCAACCCCAGAGTCGGTCACGACTGGACCTAATGGTCAGGGGTCCCTTTACCTTTACCTAGGAGATAAATTTACAGTTCCCAGGATTCTTTGAGGGCAGGAATCTACTTGTGTACAGAACCTCTCAAAGCAGGACACTTTATGTCATCTGTAATTCAGGGTTGGTACAGGGATGGGATATCACAGGATCAGTGCTGAATTATAGAGCTGTCAGGGGATGGGGGTATAGCTTTCTGGATTCAGAACTTTTGAGTTTAATGGATGGTTCACTTTGCATCAAAGGTTATGTGTTTACTGTGCTCTAACCTCATCATTTGGGTGTCTCTTGAAACTGCCACCACTGCTTTTACTGCAGACAGTGTTTGCTTATTTTTTAAAAAGGAGAATTGATAGTGGTGCGAGAGGGTTATTATTGCCTATGGTGTGTGCATTCAACTCACTGAGATCTCTGGCAAACAGGCGCTACAGAGTATTATTGTAGTGTTTCAAAAACCATCCAAACTTGTTTCACAAGAAGTGACCCCCCCTGAAAAAATGGGTGGATACAAAATGGGCAATGATGCTTTGACTGTGTGTCATGCTCTATTAGGGGTGCCATGTGTCCTCTTTTTCCAGGACATGTCCTGTTTTTCAGGGGTGAAATTTCAGTCCGGGTGGAATTTTTTTTTTTTAATTGCCAAAATGTCTCTGGCTACACTTTCTGGATGAGACGTAGACATAACGGGTGGCTGAAGACTTGCTTTCCTCTTCTCTTATCCTGACCCCCTCAGCAATATATCACAGCTACTATAGGGACGCGGGTGGCGCTGTGGGTTAAACCACAGGGCCTAGGACTTGCCGATCAGAAGGTCGGTGGTTCGAATCCCTGCAATGGGGTGAGCTCCCGTTGCTTGGTCCCTGCTGCTGCCAACCTAGCAGTTTGAAAGCACGTCAAAGTGCAAGTAGATAAATAGGTGCCACTCCGGTGGGAAGGTAAACGGCGTTTCCGTGTGCTGCTCTGGTTTGCCAGAAGCGGCTTAGTCATGCTGGCCACATGACCTGGAAGCTGTACGCCGGCTCCCTCGGCCAATAAAGCGAGATGAGCGCTGCAACCCCAGAGTCGGCCACGACTGGACCTGATGGTCAGGGGTCCCTTTACATTTTACTATAGCCTACATGTCGTAGGGGTATTCAGAATGAGAGCCGTCACTGCGTCCTCTTTTTTGCTCGTCAAAATATTGCAGCCCTATTATATTATGCGTATCCGTGGCTTACTTTTCAGGAAGACTTGGTGAACACTATTGGTGAGAGTGCAGCCCTGGGGGCAGCAGGAGTTGTCCTGTGGGGAAGCATGCAGTATGCCAGTTCTAATGTAAGTGAATTTGGGTTAAGAAAATGAGCTGAGTTTTGCAGGAATTCTTGGGACACCCCCTCCTCCTAAACATACCCCCAATCCCCAAAAGATGGCAGCAAAGATAGCAGGTTCTTGATATTCCTATGGCCCACAGGTCTGGGAATGGCAATATGCATTCCAAGATTGGCCTTCCCAGAAAAAAAGATCTCCAATGGTTTAGCTCATGGGTAGGCAAACTAAGGCCTGTGGGCCGCATCTGGCCCAATTGCTTTCTCAATTTGGGACACGGGAATCAACGTGTTTTTACATGAGTAGAACATGTCCCTTTATTCAAAACACATCTCTGGGTTATTTGTGGGGCCTGCCTGGTGTTTTTACATGAGTAGAATGTGTGCTTTTATTTAAAATGCATATCTGGGTTAGTTGTGGGGCTTAGGAATTCATTCATTTTTTCCCCTTCCAAAAACATAGTCCGGTCCCCCACAAGGTCTGAGGGACAGTGGACCCGTCCCCTGCTCACAAAGTTTGCTGACCCCTGGTAGCTCATACAAATCCCCAAATCAAATTTATTTTATTTTATTTGTTGGTACTGATCCAAAGATATACAGAAATACATACCCATTACAAAGTATCTTTTTATAATATACTGAGATAAAATGACTAATTAATCTAAAAAAGAGCAAAGAAAATACAAGAAAATGAGAAATCTAAAGAAGGAGGAAGGAAAAAAGAAGGAAAATAAAGAAAAAAACTAAAGAAAGAGTAGAATAAAACGATTTCTGCTCTCTGCAGCTACATATAACATTCATTCTTTAGAACGCAATCATTCTATATTCTATAAGCTAGTATTTTTTTTCAAATCCAGATATTACAAGTTCATTTTCTCTTTTATGCAAAAGTCCATAAGGAATTTCCAATCCTTAACAAATGTTGTTAATGGTTTTTCCCTCTAATTAAGAATGTTGGTTTAGCCATCTCAGCTAAGTCCAATAATTATATCAGCCATTCTTCTGTAAGTGGGTAAGGCACACTCACACATCAAATTTAGAATACATCTGAACAGGACAAGCTCGGTGGCTCATCTGACTGAGAGGTAAACCTAGAGATTTGCATGTGGTTCTTGTGTGCATGCATTTGGAAGAATATGGGCTCAGCTACATTAGTAAAGAAAAAGCGTTTTATATGTGTTATAACACTGTGACGCCAGGTGGCGCTGTAGAGTTCTGTCTTTTGCCAGTGTGATTTCCCACTTTGAGGTTTACAACACGTTTTCCTGAAACGCTTTTCTGATGTGTCTAGATCCAGCCTATAGCAACACTTGGGGTGTCAAATGTAGAATGCACGGGCTGTGCAACATTTTGTGCTGAAGAACTCAAACCCAAATTTTATTTTTTTGGTAGCATGTAATAGAGATATTCTCGGGACGCGGGTGGCGCTGTGGGTTAAACCACAGAGCCTAGGACTTGCTGATCAGAAAGTTGGCGGTTCGAATCCCCACGGCGGGGTGAGCTCCCATTGCTCGGTCCCTGCTCCTGCCAACCTAGCAGTTCAAAAACACGTCAAAGTGCAAGTAGATAAATAGGTACCACTCCGGAGGGAAGGCAAACGGAGCTTCCGTGCGCTGCTCTGGTTCACCGAATCTGTTCTGGAAGCCCATTTGGCTTCTGAAACATTTGAAAACCGAGGCGCGGCTTCCCATTGGTTGCATGAGCTTCTTGTACTCAGTGGAAGCCTGGAAGCCACGTCAGAAGTTCAGGTTCCAAAAGACGTTCGGAAACCGAAACACTTCTGTGTTTTCGGCTTTCAGGAGCCAAAATGTATGATAACGGAAGCATTCGGGAACTGAGGTTTGACTGTAGTGCCAACTGCTTAGAGGTGAAATCCTATAGTTCCACTTATTATTTCTGAGAAGACATCTATAGGATTGCTCTGTAAGTTGCTCCCTTTCCATGGAGGCGCAGATTGCAGCTATAACAAAGGCGGAATTTTTTCATCTCCGCCAAGCTAAGCAGTTGGCTCCTTACCTCTCTTGCCCTGACCTAGCCACTGTGATCCACGCGATGGTCACCTCCAGACTGGATTATTGTAACTCACGCTACGTGGGGCTGCCCCTGAGACTGACCCAGAAACTCCAGCGGATGCAGAATGCCGCGGTGAGACTCCTTATGGGGTCCTCGCTGTGAGATCACATTCACCTGGTGCTATACCAGCTGCACTGGCTCCCGGTGGGGTACAGGATCAGGTTTAAGGTGTTGGTTTTAACCTTTAAAGCCCTATACTGCCTAGGACCCTCGTACCTACAGGACTGCCTCTCCTGGTATGTCCCACAGAGGAACCTACGGTCTGCAAATAAAAACACCCTGAAGGTCCCAGGCCACAGAGAGCTTAGGCTGGCCTCAACTAGAGCCAGGGCTTTCTCGGCTGCGGCTCCAATCTGGTGGAATGCTCTGTCACAAGAGACTAGGGCCCTGCGGGACCTGACATCTTTCCGCAGGGCCTGCAAGACAGAGCTGTTCCACCAGGCCTTTGGTCAGGGCACAGCCTGACTCCCTCCTCTGGCAATCTGCACAGAATTTTGCTTAACGGTTGCCATCAATTTGATTTTAATTAATTTTTATGATGAAATGTTTTTAGAATGTGGGATTATTTGATTGTTGTTAGCCGCCCTGAGCCCGGCTTCGGCTGGGGAGGGCGGGATATAAATAAAATTTATTATTATTATTATTATTATTAAGTAAACCTGTCTTTTTTTTCTTTTAGGACAGCTGTTTAACTGTGAAAAAGTACGTCGATGGTCTCTTGGGACATTACATCATGAATGTGACCTCTGCGGCCAAGCTCTGCAGCAAAGTTCTCTGTAAGAAGAATGGAAGATGCATTCGTAAAAACAGTGAATCAGATGCCTACCTGCACTTGTCTCCTGACAGTTTTAAGATTTGGCTCAATATCTCTGAAACGGAGAGAAGAGTAGTTGTGCAAGGAAATCTGAAGCAGGAGGACATGGAGGTCATGAAAGAGAAATTCATCTGTCAGTGTTACCAAGGGTGGATGGGGTTATTTTGTGAACTGCCTACTCACCACAAAAAGCAGTGCAAACCTGATTCAGTCTAATATTCAATATTTCATTACCAAACTCTTACTGTGGAGTGTTAGTCAGATTTTAATCAAAAGCAGGCAGACGTTTATTGACGGGTGAATTCCCCAATACAAAGCAAATTACCCAAGAACCCAAGTATATTCATAAATCCATTTACTCTAAAATCAGCAAGTTGCGTATCCCATACAATTAACAGAACTGCGGAATAGTCTTGAGTGAATACTATACTGCAGAACTCTCCGAACTTTTCATGCTGGGGACCAATGCTTCTTTTCTAAAAAAATAATGTTTAGGGGTACTCTCATTTTGACTTAAAGAAAATCACCATTTTATAGGTCAGACCAGGGAAAATAAATACAGAAAATGGACAAAAGTACAAAGATTCACAAAATGTTTAGGGGTACGCATACCCCTGCACCCCCCCCAGAAGAAAAGCACTGCTGGGGACATACTTTTTAGCTATGCATCATTTCATGACACCATAATTCAGCTTTATTAGCAAACCGGAGGGTAAACTAACCTCTTTCCAGCTCCGGGAGGAGCGCAGGGAGTGTTTGCACAACACAACTACACACTGCAGCCGACACAATGACGTGTCGCAACATACGGTTTGGAAAGCTCTGCTATACTGGGTCCAGGAGGATAATCCTCTCAGATTCTGTGAGAACAGGCTGAAGCTATTTCTCACTTTGAGATACCAAAATTTTCCAAAGATCTGTCAAGGAAGTCCTTTTAAAAAACTTTCTACATGCAAAGCTTATGTATCTCAGCTGCTATGCAGAATTAGTGATAGTTCACCTGTTCTCAGAGGGCTTGAGATTGTCCTACCAAAGGGATATACCTCAGCAGAAAAGGAACACAGACACCAGTATGCCCAGTTAGGACTACTGCCAGTCAATACTGAGGTCAATGGACTTGGTATAAAGGCAGTTCCTATGTTGCTTGGTGGATAATTGTTTATATGTCTTAGCAGAAGAGCTGGTACCCACCCCAGGTTATATCGTTTGTGCCTTCAGGATACACTTATTATTATTATTATTATTATTTATTGAATTTAGATACCACCTTATACCCAGAGGTCTCAAAATTGCATGTGGTATCATCATTGAAATGTGCATCCGTGGTGTGTCTTCGTTTTCAAAGTAACATCACCTTTATAAGAAAACACAAGCCTTGAACAATGATGTGTTGATCTGGTTTGCATGTAACACTAACACTAACTCTGTTGTAAAGTTCCTGAATTATCTATCTCATGTATCTGTTTCCACTCAGGTAACAAACCAGATCTCATTCACTGCCTCATTCATGGCGCAGAGGTTGCTGTCACTCCTCAATGCAAGGCATAAACAATACTTAGCTTCTTGGCTTCCTAGAAACTTCACCATTAAATAATGCCAAATACTCTACTCAACATAGCTCAGCATGTGAAAAATGGCACCAGACAAATGTTCCACCCAACATAAAAACCAGCACATCCCAGTTTTGCCTGCAAGGGAAAATTCCATTTATGCCAGACATAGACAATGTGACTTTGACACAGCCCCCAGGCAGCATGGCCAATGCTCAGGATGACAGAAGTTGCAATTCAGTCCAGGCAACATCTGTAGGGTATCAAATTGGCTACCCTTGATTCATGACAAGTTTCCCCCCATAAGAACAATGCAAGATTCACATTGTGGGTTAATATTAAAGGTGGTCTACTGCAGCAAAATAAAGAAGTACATTCTTCATCAGATCTAAAAGGACTTATGGAATAAGGTGGCATTCCTCTGTTCTTGAGAATGGGCATCAATACTGTGGGATTTTTTTCAGTTACAGTGGTACCTCGGGTGACATACGCTTCAGGTTACAGACTCCACTAACCCAGAAATATTACCTTGGGTTAAGAACTTTGCTTCAGGATGAGACAAGAAATCGTGCTCTGGAGGCACGGCAGCAGCAGGAGGCCCCATTAGCTAAAGTGGTGCTTCAGGTTAAGAAACAGTTTTAGGTTAAGGACGGACCTCCGGAATGAATTAAGTACTTAACCCGAGGTACCACTGTACATGTCTCTTTAAAGTTCAAGTTCTATATTCTATGGCCCCATTTGCACCATGTCTTTAAATCACTCTTTTACCACTTTAACAGTCATGGCTTCCTCCAAAGCATCATGGGAACTGTAGCTAGTTAAGGGAGCTGAACATTCTTAGAAGACCCCTATTCCCCTCACAGAACTACAATTCCCAGAATTCCCTGGGAAGAGGGATTGATTGTTAAAATGGTTCCCCAACAATGTTTATGCCATTAACAAACTGCAATTCTCAGGAGTTCTTGCAGGAAGCCATCATTGCTTAAAGTGATATGATGATGCTTTATGTGTATAATGCAGACCTTATAGCAAACTCCTTTTTCCTGCTCAATTTTGGGTTGTGCCACTTTTTGCGGCTTTCTTTTATTTTGTCCAAAACCCCATTGTTGCCACTGCTAGTTTTAACTTTTATCATTCTGAAGTAAGATAAGAAATACTAAAGGACTTGAATTATCCACAGTATTCATTTCCCAGTGTGCTATGATTTTGTAGAACCAAATCTCTTACACTTCTCATATCTCCCACCTGCACATGTTCTTGGACTGCTTATTGTTTGGTGCTTGCCCCTACATAAGACCTGTTTACAAGATTTTTCAGTGTGTTTGATGTTCTGTCATGTTCAGTGTTTGCTCTATCCAGATTGAAGAAGAAGAAAATCAGAAAATCTTCCCATCATTCATTCATATTGCAGCAATGAGGTTTACATGACTCTCTGAATCATACTTTTTATTATTTAAGATCCTCTTCAGCTAAGGTAAGCTCTTGTATTTTTAAGATTTCATAAGAGTTGAAATTTGAATTTGGTATTAACATATTTACCTAATTTGACTATTGATTCTTTAGCACATTAAACTCTAAGAGCAGCATCCAGTGAATTTAAATTCATGTATCATACCTGGAGTCAACGGGAAATAATTCTCAAACAAAAACTTGTGATATTTTCCCTCCTCCTTGTCACAATTCTTTATTTTCCTCATATTCATTGGGTCAAAAGGAAGAAGGGGGATAACTCTCTGTCTCTTCTTGTAGGAACTTCATTGCTTTTTCCTAGTGTTTATCCTAGGCAATAATTTTAATAATGGTTTCCTGTTGAAAATTGTAGCAGAAAAGATGAGTGAGTGTTCCAGTTTGCGAATGTTCTTCGGAACCTGAATGTCCCATGCGACTTTCACAGCTTCCGATTGGCTCCTGCGGCCAATCAGAAGCCACACCTTGGTTTCCAAACGTTTTGGAAGTCGAATGGACTTCTGGAACGGATTCCGTTCAATTTCTGAGGTACCACTGTATTGCCCAACATGCTCCTTGATTAATTTCACCCCTGAAGAAACTGGGTGATTTGTAGAATCCAAGTTACACATTATCCCATGTGAGTTTTTCCACCCCATCCAGGACACCTAGATTTTTTGATGCAACTGTTCCACCTGGAATTTGGGAGAGGGGGAAGATATCTCAAAATTCATCTGGTAGCAGCATTATTGTATTTTTTCTTACATGTATATCCAACCTTTCTTCCATCCTGGAACACGTGGCGGCATGCAAGTTGTCTCCCATCTGGGTAGCACTGACCAAACCGAGATCTGATTAACTTCAGGTAGACAGTGGTTTGACTGATGTTATAAGTCCCACTGAATTCGGTGACTTGTACTTCTGCATAGACATGCTTAGGATTGGCCTACACGAGTCATGGCTCATAATAGAATCGTAATGAATATTTTAAGGCGGTAATGGCCAGTTTAAACCAAGACACATAAGTGGGACTGACTTCAGTTAAATAGAGATTTAGTGAAAGTCTCCAGTTTTACTCTTTGCCCTGAGTCACCTCTGTAATGACATGTTTGGTGGAAAGCAAACAGAAAAAGGTTTGACATTCAACTTCTCTCTTCTGCATGGGATAGCTGGCATGACTGATGGCAAATCGGAAGGTAATCATAACTCTATTTTTCATTTAAAATGCAGACCTGTTCTTTTAGATCCAAGTTGGAAGTCTTGAGATTTCTGTTATTTATTTTACCAGTCTAGGGTTGACTTTTAGTATCCATTGTTTTTGGTTTTCTTGCTGGTGCCATTTCTGCCTTGGGCATAATTAATCCAAACTGTTATTTTGAACAACATGGAATTTAATATACATCAGGAATTACCGTATTTTTTGCTCTATAAGACTCACTTTTTCCCTCCTAAAAAGTAAGGGGAAATGTGTGTGCATCTTATGGAGCGAATGCAGGCTGCGCAGCTGTCCCAGAAGCCAGAACAGCAAGAGGGATTGCTGCTTTCACTGCGCAGCAATCCCTCTTGCTGTTCTGGCTTCTGAGATTCAGAATATTTTTTCCCCTTGTTTTCCTCCTCCAAAAACTAGGTGCGTCTTGTGGTCTGGTGCGTCTTATAGAGTGAAAAATACGGTATATTCTTAGATCCTAGTGACATCCCAACAATACAGCAAAGTTCTCTTAGATGCTACCTGCAAGAGACCTAAAATTGGCAGTGGTAAGTAATCTTGGGGAATAACTGTATTGCTGAGAATAATTCATTTTTCATTTCTGCGTTATGAACAACCCTGTGTTATTCCAAAGCTTGCACACCAAAATAGCAACTTTTGTACTTTAAAGGTAAAGGTAAAGGTACCCCTGCCCGTACGGGCCAGTCTTGACAGACTCTAGGGTTGTGCGCCCATCTCACTCTATAGGCCGGGGGCCAGCGCTGTCCGGAGACACTTCTGGGTCACGTGGCCAGCGTGACAAGCTGCCAGCGCAGCCCACGGAACGCTGTTTACCTTCCCGCTAGTAAGCGGTCCCTATTTATCTACTTGCACCCGGGGGTGCTTTCGAACTGCTAGGTTGGCAGGCGCTAGGACCAAGCAGCGGGAGCGCACCCCGCCGCGGGGATTCGAACCGCCGACCTTTCGATCGGCAAGCCCTAGGCGCTGAGGCTTTTACCCACAGTGCCACCCGC